GCCAAAGTGCTGGACCACTCAGTGGACAAGGCGGTCCGGCATCCGAAGAACTTCTCAGGGTACCGCGTGAGGGCGGACTGCTGCAGGATCCACCACACTGAAGAAGGCGATCATAGCGCCGAAGATCCTCATGGAAGAGGACATCATCAACGAGAAGATTAAGAATGCCGACATCCTTGACAACGTGAATGCCACGTACATGAAAGCAGAAGATGGCACTTGCATGTGCTGGCGAGCAAGTCCACGATTAAGTGGTTGCCGACAGCTGACGGGTTGCGGCTATGGCAATGCATTCAAAGGTTTCCCGGTAAGATCGAACCCCGCAACCTGAAAACGGGAACTGGCAGGCATAGCCCACCTCGAGGGGGTCGACCCTGAGGTCTTCCCAGCGTTGCCGAGCAGCGAAACATTGTGCCCAAGATTCACACCTAGTTTCGAAAAGGGCCCAACCTTCCCAAGCTAGCCAGAACCTTTACAGTAGGGGACGACGGCCAGGTTTTTAAGCTGTGGGACAGGTGAAGGAACAATCTGCGCAACGGTTGGAGGAGATTTCATCCCTGCACAACGGTCGTAGGAACCGAGTCACTGCAGCAGCTGTTGCAAGAGGGAGTTCCGGCTCATTTTCTAGAAGAGATTTCAATCCAGAATCTTCTGCATCCATGTGGGCAGGTCGCGGCTTGTATGCGATGTCGTTGTCACCTTGTATGAAGAGCACAACCATGGAGCATATACTGCAAAGCAGAGGTCGTACTTCAGACTCATCACAGGAATGCCCTGTACGTGATTGACGGCACGCTTCGGCGAGACATGGTATCACAGCAGCAGGACTTTCGCTTAACACGATGTGCTGCATCCAGCGTGGTACTGGCACAACTTGTTCACATTGCATAGCATGCGACCAAGACATTCCATTTCGGACGTGTGTTTGTTGCTTTGATAGCTGCCGAACCCGAAGTCTCACAGTCAGTTTGCATCGTGGTCACACGCATCGCAAAAGAGTCCTGGCATCCTTGGTCCGCATGCGAGATGGCAGACATGAGATGGCATGCACTTGGCCATGCGACAGCTCCCAGACTCAAAACATGCTTTCGCCCGGCACCGCGCCTCAGCGTTGGATGCGCAATTCGCAAGTCAAGTTAGGGACAGCAGGGAGAGCTCTGGTTTGAGTAGCTTGCTGCGGAACAGTGACTGAAGGATGCTGGTCAGTTTAGACCATGCGAACCAAGAGCCTCGTCTGAGAGCGTAAGGCCAGGGTGTCCCCAAAGAATCCTCCCTTTCCAAGCCATGTGGGGGTTTCCGAGAATAGG